CCTGGGACAGACTGACAGAGGCGAGGCTGCCATATCGCACCACTGGCCCCTTTGGCCATCACTAGTAGGCGGTAGGTGAAGAGTCCTGACCACGGACACAACGACGGAGAGTGTCCGAGCCGGGGCTCGAACCGGCAATCTTCTGATCACAAGGCGAACTGCCAACTCTTGAGCCACGAACGGCCTAACTAGCAGTGATAATAATACTTATGTGATGTAACACAAGCTTATAGGGATCATGTTATATACTTTTCCATAGCATTACATTTGAATTCGATTTTTCAAATAACGGACAGATATGTGTGAGATCATGATACATTTGTGAATCAATCTAAATCTAAATCTAAATATGCATATGTACAGACAGATACATTTAATAATCATGACAATTATGTTGTATTACATTACAGTGATTTAACGTTAATTTCCATTCAAAAAGTGAAGTCAAAGTCTATTTACGTAACTTTAATGATATTCTAAAAGAACAGAACATTACTGTAAAATGCACCGTAAAATACCTTCATATTAGGGTTTTTTTCCTACGGTCGCAGCGTTACCCGGGATCTTGTTGTTAGTTCACATTCATTGGCCGAAGCTTAGCATCATGTTATTTATATTAATTGCAATTCCTACCTCTACATTTCTTTTTCAAAATATATAATTAGCACAGCGTGTCCGTGCAATGTTTTACATTGTGGCATGCAGAGAAATCTTAACAAAGAAGCTCACAGAGAGAGATTGAGCTTGTTATTTAACCACAAGCTGATAGGGGGAGCTCCTTATTAAAACACTTGCCATGCTACAATGTGCCTCAAGGTTCAACAACAGCACAACAGAAGTCACTCATGGTACAGCACTCTCTCTCCAAAACAACAACTGTCAGTGACGCTGCACCACGCCGTAAACACAACATTCAAGATAACAGTTAAAAGTAACGTAACCATAAACAATAGAACAAGAACATCTAAACAGCAGCACATGTCCCAAGGCATGATGGGAGACATTCCTGGATGTATTTTTAGGATCTAAATATGCATATGTACAACAAAATATATTTAACAAACAAGTAAATTGTGTTTTATTACATTTACAGTGATGTTATGTTATTTTACATTTGACGTGTCAGATCACAGTCTACTTATGTAAATGTAATGATATTCTAGAAAAACAGTACACAACTGTAAACTACACAGTAAAGTACTTTGACATTACTATTTTTTGGAACAGTGTAAGAGATGGGGTAAACAGGTCTCTGCAGCTTTCTTCCTAATTTCTTTGCAACTTTGATAAGAAACAATAAATATTATTGTGTATGTGAAAACTATGAAGAGCATAGGAAGTATTACAAGATCTAGTAAACTAACCACACCAAAGACAGTAATTAATCTTGATCTTTGACACTGAAGAGTGTAAACTGCATTATTACAAAATATTCCTTTTATATTAGAGTCCCACAATTTAGCTTCAGCACTTGCTATTGCTTGGACAGCAATATGACAAGCAGGTACAAGCCAAGCCACAACAAGGAAAATACTCACAGTAGTTTTTGTCATGATAGTTTGATATTCCAGAGGTTTACATATAGCCACATATCTGTCATAGGCCATGGCAGTCAAGAGAGGTAACTCTGAACCACCTAGAGTGTAAAACATAAAAAAACTGAAAGAGACAGGCTGAATATGTTGTGACTTGTTTTTCAGATAAAAAGTCAATCAGAAGTTTTGGGTACATAGTTGTGCTGTAAAGAACAGAGTTAAGTAGCAAGGCTGCAATGAAAATGTACATAGGCTCATGGAGGTTTTTATGTCACGGTCTGGGGGACAGACCGTGGGGGGTGTTGGAGAAAGGACCCAAACGCTGGACTTAGAGGAATGAACAGTGGGTTTATTTACAGTGAGGTAAAATGTACACCACACAATAATTCTCCAAAGTGCTCCCTCGACTCCCGTGACGTGTCTTCTCCCAAGTGCTGGTATCCCGTGCTCTCTGCCCCTGTGCCTTCACACACCC